GCAAAAATAACAATGATGTTGTATGGGGCTCATAACATGTAAAAGTAAAGCGGTTAGAAAGGGAGAAATGGAAGTAAATTATTGAAAGGTTTTTATACATGAAGTGGTATAATATTACTTGAAAATACACTATGATAAAAGGATGTATGCTATAAACCCTACAGCAGTCACTAAAACAAACAGTTACTATCAATAAGCCAACAAAAGAGATAAAATGGAATTGTAAAAAATTTCAATTAATCAAAAAGAAGGAAGAAAAGAAGAGAGAACAAAGAACAAATGGGACAAATGGAAGACAAATAGCAAGATGACATTTAAATTTAACCTCGAAATTTTGAAAACCTGGCAGGGCCTGGTGGCTCATGCTTGTAATCCCAGCACTTTGCGAGGCCAAGGCAGGTGGATCACGAAGTCAAGAGATCAAGATCATCTGACCAACATAGTGAAAACCTATCTCTATTAAAAATACAAAAATTAGCTAGGCATGGTGGCGTGTGCCTGTAGTCCCAGCTACTCGGGAGGCTGAGGCAGAATTGCTTGAACCCGGGAGGCAGAGCTTGCAGTGAGCCCAGATTGCACCACAGCACTCCAGCCTGGCAACAGAGCAAGACTCCATCTCAAAAAAAAAAAAAATTTTTTTTTGAAAAATGTAAATAGTTATTTTAGGGTACCAGTTTCATGATGGACTTTATTCTTTCTCAAATTTGCTGTTCAATAATAAAAGATAAAGTTCTAAGTCACCATGTTTTATATAAAATAGATTACATATGAGTGGTCAGTGCCTGTAGTCCCAGCTACCTGGGAGGCTGAGGCAGGAGGATCATTCAAGCCCAGGTGTTACAGACCAGCCTCAGCAACCTAGCGAGACCACATCTCAAAGCAGAAGAAGAAAAAAGAGTGGTCAGAGGTATATGTGTATCTTAAATTAAAAGAAAAAATAAAACCAGACTATATGCAGTGGCTCACGCCTATAATACAAGCATTTTGGGTGGCCAAGGCAGCAGAATTACTTGATCCCAGGAATTCAAGGCTGCAGTGATATGATCATACCACTGCACTCCAGCCTGGGAAACAGAGTGAGACGACCTCAAAATAAATGAACGAATAAATATCCACATACTAACACAGCTTACAAAGAAGATTACTAATATTTTGAAGACACCAATACCCCATCTCCTACTCTCCTCCCCAAGCAACCACTATCCTGAATTCTGAATTAATCATTCCTCTGCTCTTATTTATGGTTTTACCAGATATGCATGAAATCCTGAATGGTATTTGTTGCTAATTTTTAATTTTTATAAAAATTAAATCATACTGTATATATTCTTATATGGTTTGCTTTTTTCAATCAACATTGTATTTTTGATGCTCATCCATGTTGGTGTGTAGCTATGTTCTATTCATTTTCAATAGATTTTTACATTTTCCTATTGATGGCCACATGGGTAATTTCTAGAGCTGTGCTCTTAGAAACAGCGCTTATGAATGTCTTGTACCTCTCTTGATTTAAGTGGGTATGTAAAGGAATGGAATTGCTACATTATATTGCCAGATATAATGATCACTCTGTGTTATTAGCCTTATTTTATTAATAAATGAAGGCTTATAGAGACCAGGAAACTTGTTCAAGGTTACACAGCTAGGTAGTAAAGTTAAGACCAATAAATTCTGCTCCTTCCACTTGAAAAAAACTCAAGGTTAGGTAGCTCATACTTCTGGAAACATGTAACTATCAAACAGAATCCTGATGTTTTATCTTGTTTTACCTAAAGTTAAAAGAGGAGGTCCTAGGAAATTATTCCACTCAATTCTACCACTTGACCACTTGAAGCAACTTGACTACATAATGATCATGATTAAAACTTTTATTCTATTAAAATATCCTGTATTTCACCATTCCTGAAAATTCTAGTCAAATGTTATAGTTTAAAACATGTACAAATTGTGTATGTATAAAATTATAAGACATAGTAATAAAGTGGTTCTCATTGTGACTACAGTTTTACATTAAATTACAAGCACTTTTATTTTTGCCATAACTAAATTTGGAATTACTACGTTTAAGATTCACTGAAGTGAATGTAATAATTATTTTTTAAATATTACATATTCCTTTTAGAAATTACTTGAGAATACTTTGGAAAATGTCCTGCATGTCATTTAAGCCAACCAAATAATTTCCAAGATACCTAGCATTACACTTAAATTTTAAAAAGGGTAAAAAGCCAACTTTTTTTTTTCCAGCTAAGGTCAACTATTTAGCTCTGCAATCTTTCCTTTAAAAAATATTTGTAATAATTTGGTCTCTGATTTATTTCACAAGTCTTAATCTTGCTTTATAAATAATCCTATTTTCAATCACACTTTATTATCTAACATGGCTGTTTATTAATTACATGATCCTATGGTAAAGCACATATTTCTAAAAATGTAACTACTGAGACCTACAGCAGTGTAAAGGCATCTTCACATTATAGTACTCTGTAAATATTACATTGTTACTTTTAACAAAAAGGAACCAGATTATAACAAAATTGTTACAAAATAGCTTAAAAGTGTAATAGAACTTCATTAAAGAAAACATTAAAATGAATGAGTTTTAACTAGACCTATAACAATTTTAAATATGCTAGAGACAAAATTAATATGAGGTTACATAATTTTTTTTTTTTTTTTTTTTGAGACAGGATCTCACCTTGTCACCCAGGCTGGGGTGCAAGTGGTGCCAGTGAACCTCTGTTTCCTGGGCTCAAGCAACCCTCCCACCTCAGCCTCTTGAGGAGCTGGGACTACAGGTGCACGACACTATACTCAGCTAATTTTTTAAAAATGTTTTGTAGAGACAAGGTCTCAGTATATTGCCCAGGCTGGTCTCAAAGTCTTGGACTCAAGCAATCCTCTGGCCTTAGCCTCTCAAAGTGCTGAGATTACAAGTGTGAGCCACCACACCTAGCTGAGGTTAAATAATTTTATACTATAAAAAAGCATAAGATCTTGTGAGTTCCAAAGTGCCTTGGGTATCAAGAGCCAACATTCTATTTCAGGGATTTTAACTTAATGCTCCTTTAATATCTTTGCTGGATGTTGTTAGAATAGTATTTCAAACATTTTCTACAATTTGAATTAAATATTACCTTACTAAATAATGAGAGGCTGGGCAAAAAAAAAAATGTTAAGTATATCTCCAAATATAGCACAACAGTTTAATGCACTGTTTGTGGCCTTAACAAAATATGAAAGTCTGCAACACATTCACAAACCACCTGGAGATTCAAATTCACAATGAACGTGCAATGACATATTGTGCTACTTGACATTAGCTATTACCAAAGACAGTTCAAAAGGAAGAGAACAGAGACAATCTTATTAGCATAATTGGAAATGTGCTGACATATCCACCTGACCAAACATCTTCTCTTGCAGTGTATTATATTACCTGAGAAAGGTAACTTATAATCAGTGCTAATATGCTCCTTAACCTGATTTACAAGGTCAACTAGCTATAAACAGAACAAGGCCCAGGAGCTACCATACAGGTGACTTCAATTCTGTATGTCTGGACTGGATGAGAATACGGGGGCTTACATGTTTGTGGCCTTGTTGGAGTATGGGAATAGGACTGCAGTGAGAATTCTGGTTATAAAAACTCTCCCTTGTAAAATTCACTGTAAATCAAGGACAAAAATCATGAGATTGTTTGTTTTATTATACTTTAAGTTCTAAGGTACATATGCACAACGTGCAAGTTTGTTACATATGTATACCTGACATGTTGGTGTGCTGCACCCATTAACTCGTCATTTACATTAGGTAAAATCATGAGAGTTTTAAGGACAACAACATGGAAAAATCTTTCTGTTAGCAGCTAGTGGAATAATTCATTTAGGAGGAAAATGGGAGAAATTTTTCGTAACTGCTGAGAGTAAAAACTCGGAGAACCTAGGCTTGAGAATAATGTACATCTACTAATTCAGGACTAGACACATAAATTAGAGAGTTTTTGACATAAAAGTAACATTTGAAGTGATGCAACGCATGAATCAGCTCACTGAGGGATTGAGTATAGACAGAGAATACAGCCACCCCAATGTTAAGAGATCACAACTAAAAAAAATTTTAAAACTCGGAAGGACTGAGAACCAGTAATAAAAGAGGAAAACCAGGAAAGTATGTTGGCTGAGAGCCAAATGAATAAACGATACAAGGAGAGTCATTCAGGTGCATTAATAAATGCTAAAAGTAAAGCATTACATTCCTTTCCAAAAATAGCAAATCCTCAAACTGAAATAGAGAAAAATTGAAAGATATTACTTGGCATTCATTTATCAGTGACAGAGAAAAAACGGAAGTTCTAACAATGTTATCTAATCGAGATGTTTTATTCATTTTCATTACGTATATGCTGTGTATGGTACTCCCGAGCATCATATCTTCCTTTTAATATCCACATGAAACAAGCTTTTAAAGAGCACAGCAATTCTCTTGGCAGCATTAATTTTAAAGAGAACCTCTTAAGTTGTTTTACCAGCTCAGACTGACTGACTAAACAACCAGCGTCTCCCATTCAGCTGCCAGTCTTTCCTCAGAAATGCCGGTTTGGCATAACTTTAAGACTCAAGATGGTATAAGGCGCATCCTGTTTCTTCCAAAAGAGAATGAGCAAAACTCAACATTCACGGAGGGCTTAGAGAAAATTAGATCCGTATACTGTGACGTCCTGGAAGGGAGAGGCTCACCTCCTACAAAGCAGATGCTCAATAAATATTTTTGATGTAATTCTGGAAGAGCTCCATTTGAGATCTGGAGTGCACCTACTCCAGGGCACCACCCCCTGCAGAATAGTTGCATTCCCACGCCCCTCATACTCCGTTCAGTAAAGGCACCCGCGAACTAGCAGGCATCCGCCCAGTGAATAAAAGCAAAGTGGGACGGCGCACCACCGCAGTCCGGACTCTTAAGGTTAAAAGAAAACCCCTTGCCCTCGGGCCAGGGCTCACCTGCCTCGGGAGGGGGAAGAAGCGCGACACCTGGCCGCTTCGGAGTAGCCGTCCCGGCAAAACTCTCGCCTCATCACCAGACACTACCCGGGCAGAAGGTTCCTGGACTAGGTCCTTGGACCCGAGAGGGAGGGACAAGCTCACTTGGTCTCTTGGGTCTCCAGGCCGCCGCCGCCACCACAGTTCCCTCAGGTGTTACAAAGAGTCCGGGGTGTGCGCGCGCTCCCGCATCGTCGCTTAGCAACCTGAGAAGCTGTCCGGTCGTCCCAACTCATCAATTCCCCCGCCCTTCCAGAGTGTGAATCGTTTTTTAAATGATTTTGTTTCCGGGTCGAGCCAGCTTTACGCAGCGGAAGGTCTCTTTACCTCCCACGTTTACCCTCACGGGAGGACGAAGTCTCAGTCACGCGCGTGGGGGGTGATGTCGCTAAGGGGTCATTCTCTCCTCCCTAGAGTTACAAACAAAATCTCTCCCGCCAATTGCCGGGCGCCATCAGGCAGGTCCTTTCCTCCTGACCCCAAATCATCCGCCTGTCGTCGTCCTCCAATCACAGCGGCTCATCCTCCGGGACTACTTTGCAATCGGAGCAGAGCGCAGTGAGAAGGCAGTGAGAAGAACCCCTCGGATCGGGAAGTGTAGTTCAACACTTGAAGGAAACACTTTGGAGATTGCGCCAGAAGCAGGGCAGCGTAAACTACAGTTCCCAGAGAGCGCCGCGTCCAGAGCGGAGCGTTTTCTCGCTAACACCGCTTGCCCTCTCCGAGTCAGTTCCGCGGTAGAGGTGACCTGACTCTCTGAGGCTCATTTTGCAGTTATTGAAATTGTCCCCGCAGTTTTCAGCCATGGTGAGTGTGGGCCCCGGGTTCCTGCCCACCTCTGGCCCTCGCGCCCTTTTGTGGGGTTTCTTGCACTTTAGGGACTTTTGGGAGGCAGCTGTGCAAGGCGCCGTCCTTCGCGCCCTTTGACAAGCTCGGACTCATCTTCTTGGGATTGTCGCAGTGACCCAGTAATTGGGAAGGGATTGATGTCCACCTTGCGGGGCATAGGGCGCTCTTAGGAGGACTCTGGGGAAGTAGTTGTCCTGGGAGAGGCGCGATCTTAATCCTGCTGCATGGCGGGAGGACAGAATACGACGCTGCAGCTATTTTCCAAAGGATGTTACGGGGTTTGTTTGATAAGGATAATAAGGTTTGCGATGGGAGGGAAAGGTTGCGTGCTAACCCCTTTTTCTCCTCATTAGCCCACAGTGTTTATAAGAGCTTTTGTCACAGGGCCCTTGAAAGCTAAAAGCTGGAAAGGTAGTATTTACCTGGTGGTCCAGATTACGATCTGCGTTTGCAGGAAACGTGTTTCCGCCATGTCTGATTTCTCAAAATGTTATTTGGAACCCGTTCATTGACCTGTTTTGTAATGCCAGGACATGTTGAAGTGACGGCATCACTAGCCAATAACTACTGCGGATAGTCTTTGTTGAACTGTATGTAATGAATTCCAGAAGCACCTCTTTTAAATGTAACAGAGTAACCATTTTGTCATGGAAGACCTGGATAACCTAGATCTCCATCGCTTGTCTCTGCAGAAAGAGGCGGGGGGGGGGGGGGGGGGGGGGGGGGGGGGAGGTTGGTGAAGGAACTCTGACGTAGGAATATTCTGCGTACTGTTTGAAGGTGACATTTGTCATCAAACTCAAAGAAATCGCTTCCTACTATCAATACAATTGCTTGTAATTGTAGTTGAGACTGTTTTTCCTACTTTGTGTCCAAAATACTAAAATGGCTGGAGAATGTGGAGAAATGTTTGAATAAATTGGAAATTTCCCAGAACCTGAAAAGACAACGTTTTCAAGGCAAGGGCATTACTCTCTCTGCCTGTGTAACGGGGCCAGTGGAGACAGCTACTAATTTCCAGTAGGTGTTAAACCTAAGTTTCCTATATATTTTGTCACATAATTAGTCATTTAAATTAGGGTTTCAGTGGTTTCTGTCCTAATAATCTTAGCTAGAAAGCAAAGGTACTTATTATGTGAGAACCTTGGACTTTTTGCTTTTCGAACTGAATGGGATCTTTTAAAGGTCACCTTGACGAATCTCCCCACCTCACATCTTAAAATTGAGTTTATCGAGACCCAGAGAGAATGTGATTTGTCCCAAGAGTCTCACACTCTTGCCATTTTTCTATATTGTGTCTTACACTTATCAAGCCTTTCTGAATTTTTATTTTTATAGGGACCACCGCAGTGAGGTCTTGCAGCGGGGGAGAGACGGTGTACTCAACTCCCTGAAAACTTAATTTTTACTAACTGAGATTCTGGATGAAGTTACCAGTTCATACTGCATATACAAACTCAACTATGTTATCAGCATATAGATTACTTGATAGCTTTATTCCTTGCAATTCAAAATATTGGAATTCTAGAATTAAAAGGGGATTTGGAGAATATATTATCTACTCTTATAATGTAGTCTGGGGAGGTCAGATAATTTTCTTAAGGTCACAGAGAGATTTTGGGCCCCAGATTCTTAGCTGGTTTTCCCTAGTAAGGCCCCACCGCTGGAAGGTCACTGGGGTGCCAGATAACACAGAGACAGAACATAAGGAAGAATTTGTCTGGCAGTTTGCTGGAACTGACAGCAAACTCACACATGACTCAATTTCCCTGTCCCCCTCAGGGGAGTGTGTGAATGGACAGAGTTAGAAAAGAGCCTTCTTTTGTAAGCTCATTCAAAGGGGAGGATTCTTTGCTTGTTGTCTATAGGGAGTGACAGTAAATAAACTGTATGAAGGAATCTAAATGGTACCGCTTAGTTTTTTGTGTTATAGAAATGCATGTAATTTAGAAATATATATAAATTTGAAAGTGAAAAAGGAATATGTGGATCTGTCTGTGGAATAACAGAGATACTTAAATTCAATCTTTACAGCTGAGAAGTTAGCACAGAGCCTGCATCTGCAGGAAAGTCATTGGTGCCCTGCTAAGAGCAAAGACATTCCTTCTTTGGATCTTGGCAGACTGCCCAGATATCTGAGCAAAGAATAGTAACCTATGTTCACACTGTAACATTGTGAAAGTCAGCAGGACTCTCCCACCCTCCTGCTTTTCAACTGCAATGTTGCAGAGGAGCAGAAAGAACCATACGTGGAGTTTTCTTTCTCTGTTTCATCTTCAAACATTCAAACACTAACTAAGCCTCAGACTGCCATTAATAAGATGGAATTACCTACCTGTGAAAGTAATTTCTCCAGAAATACAGAAGAAAACTGCTGAGGTGGAATTAACTGTTCATTAGGTGGCCACAACCCCTTCATTAAGGACTGTGATACTGTGAACATGTTTTTAAGTAGCTACTAAAATTGACTGCATTTTTCTAACCATATAGATGACCTTATGGGAGGTTAAACTTTACAGATAGCGATCTTCCATCTCTCCAGCCCCCCTTTTCTTATCCTACTTTGCTGTACATTGAAGTAGTATGTGTTCGTACTTTATACCCTAACCTTCCTTCATTCAACAAATACTGGTTGAACACTATATGGAAATGCAAATCCGTATCAAAGGCAGACTGTTCTTAAGGGGGCTTCATGGTCTAATACAGAGCAACAGAAATGCAAATAGAAAACCACAGGCTATTAGAGTCTTTAGAGGAAAATTCTGTGATGATAATTGTAAATACTTAAAACTACTCTGTTCATTAGGTAATTGCTATTATTATCTCCATTTTACTATGGGGAAATAATGCAGAGAGGTTAAGTAACTTGTCCTAGAGCACGCAGTTAATGAGTTGTGGAGCCAGGACTTGAACCTAGAAAGTCTGGCTCCAGAGTCCATCTCTTTAATTACTACTCTCTACTGCCTCTGTAGCCCCCTGTTTTAGAAAATTGGTGTATCCTTTTGTTTCCTTCACGTAATTCACCAATGGATTCCCTGGCCTAAAATAGTACCAACTACATGATAGGAACTTAATGCTGTTTTGTTTAATGAATGAATTAAATGAGACAACAGCTCATCAGTGGATTTATAAGGTAATATCATTAGTACTAATGACATAAATAATTTTGTTAACTATAGTTGAAACTATTGTGGTCACTGAGTTTCTAGCCTTCTCAATACATACTATATATGAATAAAATACCTTTTGTTTTCATGGTACATATGAATGAGTTTTTGTTTGAGTCAGGATCTCACTCTGTCACCAAGGCTGAAGTGCACTGACACAGTAATGGCTCACTGTAGCCTTAACTTCCAAGGCTCAAGTGATTCTCCTGCCTCAGCCTCCTGAGTGGCTGGAACTACAGCATGTGCCACCATACCCAGCTAAATTGTTTTTTTAAGAGACAAGGTCTCACCGTTTTGCCCAAGCTGGTCTCGAACTCCTGGGCTCAAGTGATCCAGTCACCCCGGCCCCCGGCGCAGTGTGCCGGGATCATAGGCGTGAGCCACTGCACTCAGCCTGAAATATCTTAAATAAATAAAATACCTTTTAAAAAATGTTAAAGCATACTACATATGTTCCCAAACAGTTCTTTTACATTTCCATCTTTTTGGTACTTTTATAGGATCCAGCTATTCCTTCAAGCAAATATCAGAGTTCCAACTACAGGCCAGGTGTTTTTCTAGGCAATTGAGATACAGCAGTAAATAAAATAGACAAAGTCCGTGTTCTTAAGGATCTTGCATTCTAAAGGAAAAGGGAGTAATAATTTCTTCCTGTATTCCCTTTTCCTCACCTACTCTACTTGACTTCAAGGAAAGAAGGGAAAATGACAGAATGAAACATGTGTAGGCCATTAAAGATTTTTCTATAAATAGCAATAAATTGGGAAACAAATATTGTATAGTATATAGCTGGCTATGATCAAATTCATTTCTCTACACCAGTTGACATTTATTTATTTATTTATTTATTTATTTATTTATTTATTTTGAGATGGAGTTTCGCTCTTGTTGCCCAGGCTGGAATGTAATGGCACTATCTTGGCTCACTGCAACCTCTGCCTCCCGGGTTCAAGCCATTCACCTGCCTCAGCCTCCCAAAGAGCTGGGAGGCGCCTGCCACCACACCCAGCTAATTTGTATTTTTAGTAGAGACGGAGTTTCTCCATGTTGATCAGGCTGGTCTCAAACTCCCAACCTCAGGTAATCCGCCTGCCTCGGCCTCCCAGAGTGCTGGGATTACAGGCATGAGCCACCATGCCTGGCCTGACACTTCTTTTTTGAATTTTTTTTTTTCTTTGACTTCTGTGAGTGAGTACCAAATTGCTGAGTTCTGCTGACCTCAGAGCTTAGAGTTAGAAGCTTAAAAGAAGCCTTCGAGGCTATCCATCCTTGTTTCATCTGGAGGAAGGATCTTAAAAAGAAACCAAATACTTCTAGGCTCAGTCACATCAGTGGACCATTTCTCCATGCCGGTAGGGGTAAAGGTGACAGTGAAAGTACATTTACCCAGCATTGTCGGGGAAAGGAATGGTTCACCATAATTGAATTTTTCTGTCTAATTAAACTTACCCATTATGTTTCTAAACATTGTTTT